AACCTCAGTAAATTCAGAATTTTCTCCCAAAAACGGCCCGAAGTGGTTTGGTTTATTTTGAAGAGCTGTTCTGCCGTAGTTATGCCGGTGCCATCCATATATAAGCAAAACTCACTTGTTTTATGAACTTTATATAAGCAATCTAGTAATTCTGCCTGTCCTTTTAATTTTTGATTCTGGTCTCTTTCAACAATGCTGCTGTTAGTTTTCTTTAGGGCAGCAGATAATTGGAAACGATTTGGGCCAGCAGATGAGTCGCTTCGCCTTGGCATGGAAGAGGCGCTGTATCTCAGTTCGGAGCTTGGCGTACTTCAGATATTTTCTAGCGATGGGCATCAAAAGTTTGATCCGAACACTGTCTGGAAGAAATTTTACCATCGTTATGGCAGTCAGTTTATGAGACGCTATGTAGTTTATCGCTTTTTTAGGCAGCAGGGCTGGGTGGTTCGGTCAGGTCTCCAGTACGGTGCTGATTTTATTCTTTACTGTGACGGGCCTGAGTACCACCACAGCAGTGCTGCCGTCCGGGTCGTCCCTAGTAGCGATGTACTTGGTTTTGCAGCACTCAACAGGGAGTTGAATAATATGAAGAAAACACTGATTGAAGTATCGGTGAACGTACCGCAAGATTGCGATATCCGATGCTTAGACTGTGTCCGCTGGATTACTGTCTCATTAGCTTCTTCTTTCTTATGGAAAACGTCCGCTAACCGCTGACTTGAGGTTTTGAAGCCGTGTGTGAACCGTAACATCCAAGAATCCACTTTCAAAGTTGCATTTGTCAATTGATTTTTTTAATGCGTTTTTTGCAGCTATGCAATGCAGAAAACGCATAATGAGGGGTTGTCTGTGTCTGTGTGTCGGTGTATGTGTGTCTGTATGTTCGTCTGTACCGATTTTTCATCTCGAGTCCTACAAAAGCTACGGGGCTGAAATTTTGGGAACTTAATCTACATACATGTACGAGCCCCATCCCCAGAATGAGCGCTCTTACTCGCATGGTACCCACGTACGGGCCCGCCGAAGCTTTTTACGGGGAAGCTGCTAACACGGGAACCAGAAATGCTGGGAGGCTGAAATTTTAAAAGGGTGTTCCCCGCCCAAGTGGGTGTTAATGAGCTCAAACTCAGTCCCCGGGTAAGCATGGTACCTGCGTACTGGCCCGCCAAAATTTTTTTCAGATAAGTTGATAACTCGGGGATCTCAGATGCCAGAATGTTGAAATCTTAAGGGGATGTTCCTCGTCCAAGTGGGCATTAATAAGCTCAAACTCAGCCCGCGAGCAGGTGTGGTACCCGCGTAGAGACCCGCGAAATTTTTTTTTTTGGGTAAGTTGATAACTCGGGAATCAGAAAAGCTGGAAAGCTGAAATTTTATGTGGACGTCCCCTTTCTACGTAAGTCTTAATGAGCTTCAAACCAAGAAAGCTAGAAAGCTGAAATTTTGAGGGGGTGTTTCCTGACAGTTCTGGGGGCCAGTCTTAATTTGTTTAGCTAGAAGCATCTGCCGAAAAAGCCGGTGGCGGT